ATTGAAATCAACGATCTCTTGGCAACAAGTAGGTTACAACATGAACATAAGATAACAGATAACACAAAAGGACATCGTATTTACAGGGCTACATTTAAATACTGTTACGGCCTGGCTCATAGGCTGCAACAAAGATGGGAGACAAAAAGCATATTTATTTGCAATACCACAAAAACCAAAGGTCTTCAAAGAAACCTAATAAATGTGGAAGTCAGTTATCAGTAATGATTGCGTGTATGGGTGTGTGAAAATGTGCAGAAACAAAGACGCGGCCGTGTCCAACAGAAGAGTGAGAGGGCAGTATGGGTTGGTGTTGGCCTTTTATGTCGACGGCCCAGGTGTGGCTCATCAGGTTGATCACCTGAAACACAAACAAGAGCCAACAAGCAGAACACAAAGACAGAGACCTCTAGTGGAGTGGAGGGGGTCGTAACAATACCTAGAGACATTGACAAGTACCAACAGTATATTTATATCTCGCCCTGTCAATAAGCCTCACCTTCTTGGCAAAAACTGTAATGTTTTTGAAGTGGTGGAGAGACAATGCACAGTTTTACCCACTGCTGTCACCCATGGCCAAAGCATATCTCTCTGTCCCAGCAGCAAGAGAGTTTTTTCCACAGCAGGGGATATTGTAAACGCCCAAACATCCCAGCTTCTACCTGTAAAAGTGGACATGCTCATATTCCTAAAAGATAACCTTGATGATGCTGAGTGAGTGAGTTAGTGAGTTAGAGTTGAGTTACTTGAAAAACTAAAGTGAAACTTGATTTATTCTATTGCAGGGTCTGATTATTATATTGTTGACACTTTAAAATACTACTATCCTACTAAAATGATGTACAAATCAGATGTATTATTTAATGAACACTGGATGCATTAACAAAGGCCGGCAAATGTTTTGTGCACCACTTCAAAGAATGCAACTATGAGTGCTATGAGTGGCTATCAGCCTTCACCAAGCACAACAGGCTATTTTTCTGGCCATGTTTATTGTTTAATACCAGTAAAGGGACATGGAATGATTCTGGCTTTGTCAGTCTGAGTAGCTTCACCAAGGCAGCTGTTAAACACCAAAGCTCCAACCAATTTGTGTTCTTTGAACCTGAAAAGGAGATGGCATTGTCTTTGTTACTTTCATTGCAATTGTATACATGTCTTAACTTATCGCGATACTATGCTGTATCGATTATTCCCCCCACCCCTAATAGATAGTGTACGAAAGTGAGCGTAAAGGTGATTTACTCGCTAGGGCTAACTTCATTTGTATATATAAACCGAGATAACTAGATACGTGTCTGTAGTGTGGCTTTTCCTGGTGCTCAAAGACTCTTTACAAGCATGTTAACAAAAGAGAAACCAAGAGGAGATGACCCTCCCCCAGTTCAGAGGAGCAGAGATGAGTTATGGCTCGGAGTGTGTACCGCTGTGGACAGGAACAGCACTGAAACATATTTTCAGTAAATAATTCTTCCAATAATAACCGTGCAGAAACCTGTCAGTCGATTCATCATTCATATTCACACAATCCCCCACAGACAGGTCGACAAAACAGTTCATGAATTATTCCGACACGCAGCTTGTGAAGCCAGTGGAGTATTTCAAAAGCAAAGTGGTGTTTGAGGTTCATGAATCCGATCGATAATTACATCCGTTTCCTCTCTTCAGCTGGCGAGTATGAAGATGTTCAAACACTTTTCACCCTCACTTCTCCAGGTGCCAGTCTCCGCCATTTGATGTGCTATCTGGCACTCGATCACCCTTTAAAGCAGCTGCACTGGCGATGGAGTTAATTGATCTGGAGAGTTTCCAACGCCTTAGTGGCCGTGATTACATCCTGATGTTCCCTGTCTGCATTTAGGATTTAGAGGAGCCGTAAAGAGATTTCGAGCAAAGCATGCATCCAATATATTCACAAAAAAGTACAAAATTCTTGGAATCCATCACAGATCAGAGTGCACCTGTTAAAGTCATTCATTATCCGCATGTTGTTTCTTCATTATAATCTTAAAGGTGGGGTAGGTAATTCACTTCAGAAACACGTATTGTTATATTCCATGGAATGCTCTTAACATCCCGATAGCAATGAATACATTAAATGCTTTGACAATAAATACTTACAAAAAATGTCATCTGTGGAAGCCGTGGCGCTGTAAAAAGCACGACCAATCATCTGAACCGGCCCGGCTAAAGTAACTGGATGGCCTACCTGCCTGTCAGCCTTCCATCTGTGCACAAACTTATCTCGTGCCCTCATTGGTCATGTGTGACCATGTGTGTTGGAGGAGGGGCTCTGTAAGGAAGTCGAGCTGGTGTCTCCATTCTTACCTACCTTACCTTAAAGGTGGGGTAGGTAAGTTTGGAGAAACCAGCTCGAGTGCGCTAGAATTTGAAAATACACAACCGGAACAAATCTGCCACTTCCTCACAGAGCCCCTCCTCCAACACACACGAACGAGCACATGACCAATGAGGGCACGAGATAAGTTTGTGCACAGATGGAAGGCTGACAGGCAGGTAGGCCATCCAGTTACTTTAGCCGGGCCGGTTCAGATGATTGGTCGTGCTTTTTACAGCGCCACGGCTTCCACAGATGACATTTTTTGTAAGTATTTATTGTCAAAGCATTTAATGTATTCATTGCTATCGGGATGTTAAGAGCATTCCATGGAATATAACAATACGTGTTTCTGAAGTGAATTACCTACCCCACCTTTAAGATTATAATGAAGAAACAACATGCGGATAATGAATGACTTTAACAGGTGCACTCTGATCTGTGATGGATTCCAAGAATTTTGTACTTTTTTGTGAATATATTGGATGCATGCTTTGCTCGAAATCTCTTTACGGCTCCTCTAAATCCTAAATGCAGACAGGGAACATCAGGATGTAATCACGGCCACTAAGGCGTTGGAAACTCTCCAGATCAATTAACTCCATCGCCAGTGCAGCTGCTTTAAAGGGTGATCGAGTGCCAGATAGCACATCAAATGGCGGAGACTGGCACCTGGAGAAGTGAGGGTGAAAAGTGTTTGAACATCTTCATACTCGCCAGCTGAAGAGAGGAAACGGATGTAATTATCGATCGGATTCATGAACCTCAAACACCACTTTGCTTTTGAAATACTCCACTGGCTTCACAAGCTGCGTGTCGGAATAATTCATGAACTGTTTTGTCGACCTGTCTTTGAAGTAATATATTCCAAACACTTTCCAATGATCACTTACGTCAATCTTACCCCCTCTGTTGTGAGCATCAGGGACGTCTGTGTCACACTTGCTCTCGATTTATTCGAGAAACCATTCACTGAGCACGTAGCCTCACCAGCCAATTAAGATGTACATGTTGTAATAATGCAGGAAATCCTGATGTGTCGTTCTTGTCTGAAAAAGCAGCTACTTAATGATGAGATCATGAGTTTAGAGATTTTTTTTTTATATAAAATAGTTCTGTAGTTACTTGTATTAAGTTTACAAAACGAAAAGATGACCATTTCACGTCGTAAACTCATCCTGAGCTTAGTTTTGTTTCAAATTACACAACATCATGTATGTGTTGCTTTCTTTGGGGGCTTCGTGACCTGGTGCTTATTTCTGTGAGTGAATCTGGGCAACAGAGTGGCCAGTTCTATCTTGTAGCAGTAGCTAAGCGAGAGCTACGTCTCAGTGGTTTGACTCGGGATTGGGGAGCAGACGTCAAGATGTCAGGATTTGGAGTATTATAAAATTGACGCAATCGAAGCAGTGTAACAGCCAGATGCAATGTTTGCAAGGCCGGAAGTTCCGGTGGTGGAAAGAACAGAGCTACGTTCAACCGGACCGAAGTCTAATACGCCACCTGGAGAACAACACCAACAACCAACACGAGAGTACACAGATGGCCTCAAGTAACGCACTGAAACAACCTGAACATCTGTTCAGGATACTTTTAAAAGGAAAGAGAAACTGCCCCCAGAACAGGAAAAGGCCAAAAACATAACAGGCCAAGGTAGCTGATCTCGCGTTGGATGACCAGACCGTTATCTGCTGTACATTGTAAACGATCGGATCGGGAAAAATCGGCTATCGGAGATTGTCAAAATCCCAATGATCGGGAATCGGATCGGGGAGCAAAAAAGGCTGTGATCGGGACATTCCGTATAGAGTTGGATGATGAACTTCTAGTACGTACACGTACAATAACAAACAGTTCAAAGATGTACTAGCTGAACAGTCTCAGCAGTAACTCAAATAACGTGGGATATTCTTACCGTGTATAACAATAACTTAAGGACATGAACATTACTTAAAGCGTGCATGTAACATGTTTTTGGCCACTTGGTTCAACGGAGCTGAAAACAGACAACATTTCAGCAATGACGATCATATTGAAATTTTTTTTTGCCCCTCATCACTGAGAGCCGTAATAATAATAAAATAATAAGTAAATAATAAGTAAGGAATAATAATAGATAGATAATAATACATACATACGGTGGCTACCTATCAAAGCTGCTTCCGGCAAGCTAATAAAAAGAAAAAAAAAATAATAATAATAATACTGGAAGTAACACAACGTTTGCAAACCAGAAAAATAAAACAATAGAGTTTGATACAGGTAACTCAAATCTCTATTTGAGTTGGCGGATCTTGTAGAGTCGTAAGAAATGATGATGTGTGCAGCTCTTGGAAGCAGGGAGGGTGGGAGGGGTTCTGCCTTTTTCCCTAATTTCCCTTTTCTTTGGAGGTGGACATCATCATGCCATGAAGTGAAATCTCGTTTAAGCGGCGAGTATAAATGTCAATACCAAAAAAGTTATATGTGAGCAGAAGATTAGACTGTGAGCATAGACTTCAATTTCTCGTCAATGCTGGAAAGTCACAACAAATGACCACGGAAAGTGCAAAGCAGACTCAATTTAGAATATCTAACCAGCTGCGCTCACATCATAAAGCTCAGGGTAATACTCCGTGATGTGCTTCACCTGCCAGCAGAGCGCAGCGCAGCGTAGACGGACATGAAGCATGTGGCGGCCGGCGCGGTCAGCGTTGGTGTGTCCGCTCTTCATCAGAGGGTGAGATGCATGTAGAGGAAGATCAGGTCGACCCGGACCACAATAGAGCAGCACCTGAGCAGAGCCGGTGATTGGACTCCTGGGAAATAAAAAAGCGTTCGGATCCAATTACCTCATAATTATCTTGTTTACATCGTTTTACCTCAATTTACAACACTCGTTTTTAACAACTGTTCGCTTTACTGATTACTGGATTGCAATTATTCATATTCTGAATTGTTTCGTTTGTTTCCAAGTATTAAAAGAACAGAAAGTAAGAAGAAGGATTTTCAGGCGGACTGGACTTCACAATTTAAGATTTCCAAGATCTTATTGCTTTAAAAATGTACAAGACAGCGATATCAATCCAGAAATGAAATCCAGACCCTCATAGGATACGCATAACAACAAATACCATACATCTGTAAAAGGAATAAAAGGGACGATGAATGGGAAAACATAAAGAAAAACAAGATGAAAAATGTGATAAGATTAAGTAGGGCTCTCAAACAGATTACAATTTTTAATCAGATTAATCACAGCTAAAATTAATTAATCATGATTAATCACCATTCGAACTTATGTCCAAAAATATGCGCATTTCATTGGGTATGAGTAGTATTGTTGTGGGAATGGAAAAGATAAATGAAGAAGGCGGGATTATATCCATTTAACATATCAGTGTATGTTTATTAATAACATTTTTCGTGACGCCACACAGCCGTGATCACCTCATCAACACCGCTGGTCTTTTAATTCATTACTGGTGATTTCCTTATCGAACACGTCAATAGTGTATCGATTGTGTATATAGCGACCTGTAGCTACAGCAAAAGGTATTCTCCCGTCGGGATTCCCTGCAACAAACCACGTCGTTTATCTGACTCCTGATGCCGGAGACATTATCAAAGCATGTTCTATTGAGAAGACGATCACTACTGACAAAAGTTTTTCAAAACCGTTTCTAGTCTTCGTGTATTTCCAGACAAGTGGCTACTGAAACAATCTTACTAGAGCTGGCTGTCTGTGCAATTTCACTTCCGCGAGTTGGCGGCACTTATTTTGCTTACTTTAACATCATTTTTCAAATGGTGGGGCTAAGCCATTGTCTTGGTGTGGGTGTAGCCTACCCCAAGGCCAGTACCCTGGCGTGCCACTGGTGCGGATTATCGTGGGCGGGCCATGTCCTGCACATGCGGTAAGATGTCATTAAATATTTGAAGCGCAATTAATTTTAAAAAAATTCTTACCGCCATTAACGCTGATAATTTTGACAGCATTAAATAAATATTAAATAAAACTTGGGTAACGCATCCCAGGAAGCAAACATGACGATCAAGAAACAGCACTAGAGTTAATGGACAGGGAGAGGTTCCAAAATGTTCTTGTCAACGGGTGAAGTTAAATCATTAGCATCAGAGCTGTCAGTATTACAAGATTAATATACTGTAAGACCTCACATCTATCATATGGATTACGTACTTTATGCATCAACCGGGTGACTTTTCATTTAAAAGCTCAGCTAATGTGTGCCACGTACTGACCTTTTCCCCCAGAAGGTTGCGGCAGGGGTAGTAGCAGCCCCTTGGCCCTCTTCAGCACCCTCTCCAGGACACAGTGGAACTAGTGCAGAGAGGGAGTGGGAGAACCTGCTGTCTTGGATCGCTACCAGGTTCCCGATCTGTCATGATAGGAAGGTGAGACTATGAGAGGTCAGGGCTTATGACGCGCCAGAGCGTTTAATGTGAAGTCGTTATATGATTGCGGGCGCGGGGGTATGAGTGTGTGATTGTGTAGTACGGTCAAGGGTAAACACTTTATGTTTATGTGAGCCTCTTCATGTTGGGGGATAGAGAAAGGCCCAAAAGGCCAAGACACCGCGCCGGTGGTATATGCTGCGCATGTTTCCTCTCCGTAATCATACACACATTAATACTTCCTTGAGGAGGCTGCGAATTGAAATCGGAGTATGGACATTTATTAATTGAGGGTCTCTTTCATAGTGGATCATTTTTGACATAGTGATCGCAGCAAAGGCTAGCGATCGTGCTTCGAATTTACTCCGTGTTTGTAAAACTTTCTTGGGGAACTCTTGCGCAAATTCTGGCCTTCCTGAGATTGCAAGAGTTTTGGCAGGTTGACGGACGAAATCTATTAGACGACGAACAAATGCAGAAGTTTAAACAAAATCCCGTATTTCACATAAACTAGGGGATGGAACCCTGTTGCTTTTGTGGTATGTTCTAACAACATTAATGCTTGAAATCTTAATTAGCTGGTACTTTGGGGTTTGAAAACTTCTGTCGCTCAAAAAGTGTCAGTTTTAAGATGCTTCAAACCTTTCTTCAA